GGGGCCCACAACATGCCTCCTCTGCTGGCACGGGTGGGGTGAGCCAATCCCAGTGGGGTGAGATGGTGCCTCGAGTAACCTAGACCCACTGCCATGAAGGGTTTTAAAGGTGATCACCAACACCTTGAATTGCACCAGGAAGCAGATTGGCAACCCATGCAGCTCGCGGAGCAGTAATGCCATTCTTCGGGCCCCAGGAACTACCTACACCACCATAGTGTATCAGCTGTAGCTTCCGAATGCTCTTCAAAGGTAGCCCCATGTAGAGAGCATTACAATAGTCCAGCCGTGAGATGACTTGAACGGCCGAGTGCAGGGAGCCCTGATCCAGGAGAGGACGCAACTGGCACCCAATCCAAAGTTGCACAAAGGGTCTCTTGGCCGCGGCTGCCACCTGCTGGCTTGAGCAGGAATTGTGAGTCCAGGAGAACCGCTGAGTTGTGGGCCAGATTCGTCTGGGGGTAGTGCCACCCCATTCTGAATTAAAGATGACAGTCTGACTCTCAGGGCCTTGTGCACCCAAAGCCATTTGCTCTTGCCAGGGTTCAATTGAAGCCTGTTGTCCCCCATCCAGGCCCCCACAACCTCCAAGCACTGAGAGGGTGGCCACAGCATCACTTGGATCACCAGGGGTGGAGATACAGAGATACAGAGTTGGGCATCATCAGTGTCCTGCCGGTATCTCCACCCAGAGTTGATCTCGCCCAGCAGCTTCATGTAGATATTAAAGAGGAGTGGAGAGAGTACCGAGCCCTGTGGCACAGCACGAGATGGTGTCCGAGGGCTGGACCTCTCTATCCCTATTAACACCGATGGGAGGAAGGAGCTGAACCTGCGTGAGACTCTGCCGCCCAGCTCAGCCCCCATAGCTGGCCTTGGTCGAGCTATCGAAGGCCGCTGATAGGTTGAGGAGAGTGAGGATGGTCACACTGCCCCCATCCCGCTCTCACCAGGGATCCTTGATAAGCGCGACCAATGCCATCGTCTGTTCTGTTCTGTTGGCATGAAGAAATCTCCAAGATGCCAGTTCTCTGAGAAGAAGTGCAGCTGTTGGTGGCTGAGGGGCCGCAGCCTTCCAGGAAAAGGGCTCGTGGAGACCCCCGTACCTGCCCCTGCTAGCCAGGAAGGCTGGCATGTGGTTGCTTGCCTCTCCTCCTGTCCTTCCTCCTCTGTGGCAGAGTCAAGCGGACGCTCGTCCACATGTTGTGAGCCAGTACAGACTCTTCATGCTGTGTGAAAAGCTGCTTTCTGCACCGTAAATCCCATAGCGTTTTATATTATAATTAGTGAACGGGGTGGAAGGGGTGTCAGTTAAACCAATGAGGTTATGGCCAGCAACATCCTTCCATTTGTCACTGATACCCCCTCTCTATAGTCAAGGTGCTGTTCGTTGCCAGCCAAATCTTTTGGAGCATGGGGCGGACTTACCTGCAGGGCCATCGGTCTCTGATTAATTCAGCCCCCCCCCCCCCAGAAGCCACATAGGTCCCTTTATCAAGCAGTGCCTCCCTGGTGGGACTCAGGAGACTCTGCCAAGGAACAGGTCTTCTGATACCGCATGCCCAGCTCAAGACCTGGATGACCTTGCAGTCTCTGCGCATTAGGGGGCTCACTAGGTAGACAGGTGCGGGTCCTCATATGCGGATGTCTTTTAGTTTTTGATTCTTGCTCTTAACAAGCATTGACCTCAAGTTTTCACTGTTTTTTTAGAATGCTCTAGTGAGGGGTGTATGGTGCAGAGACCACATAAATGGGACAATTTTATAAATAAGCAAGAAAGATGCTCCAAAGGTGCTTTTTCCAAAAGGCAGCTGGATTTTCTTGATTTTTTTTTCTTTGAAAACATTTTGCTTCTCATCCAAGAAGATTCTTCAGTTGATGAGAAGCAAAACGTTTTCAAAGGAAAAAAAATCAAGAAAATCCAGTTGCCTTTTGAGGACCCAGTTTGTGGGGGCAATAAGCTGACTTTGTATAAAATATACAAAAGGATGAAGGCTATTGCTTAACGCACTGTAAGCCGCCCTGAGTCTCCGGAGAAGGGCGGCATATAAATCAAATAAAAAAAAAAGAGCATCTTTGGGACAACCATGGCCATCTCTATGGACAAGCAAGAAAGATGGCAGACCAAACTTTCCACCCTTTTTGAACCCTGTTCATGTCTCTGACTTAGCTCCACCCTGTCCAAGCAATTCCGGGCAGCTCCTGTCCCTTTAAGAGATTCCCTCCTCTCCCCCCCCCACCTCGCAGCCAACCTGAGAGCCAGAGAGGTGATGGGGATGAGAGCAGACGGGAGTTGTTTCATGTAGGAGTGGCTGCTCAGGAGGTGAGTGCAGCCTGGACGGGAGGGCGGCAGCCCAGCCCAGAGCTAAGGCAGGGCCTGGGCTAAGGGCAACCAAGGGGACTGCACTGCCGAGCAAGTTGAAAGTCACTTGGTATGTAGCCTGGGAAAACAAGGGAAAACTAGCAAAAAGGATGTGGTGGTGGGGATGTTTCTCCAGACCATGCAAATGTGGGAGGGAGACACATGTGTGCAGAGAAGGGATGCTGGCTGGCAGCAATGAGCTCCAGGTCTGGCAATGCCCAGAGAAGGAACAACAGAGCCCAAAGGGGCCCTTAGCTGCGAGCCCCCAAGGCAGCATAAGCCATGAACGGAATTTCTGACCCATGCCCATTGCATTGGGAGTGGGGGGAGTTCCTGGTCAAAAAGCTGACCAGGTGTAGAATCTTCCCACTTCCCAAAAGAGCAGGTGGGAAGTGGGCTGTGTCTCGGGCCCTCTCCCCACCCACCCACCCACCCACCCCTTTTAGTAAGGTCTCACGGGAGCTGATCAGAAATCAGCCCTGGGCTTTCTGAGCCTGCCACAGGGGGAGTAGCAGCCCCAGTCTGTCCTCTCTCCTGGGACCCCTGGCCTGACTGCCCCTTTCCTGCATTTCCTAGCTGGCAGGGGGACCTGAACCTGTTCCCCCTTCCTCCTCTTGAAAGCCTGTGATCTCTTCCAACCCGAGGTTTAAGGTGACAAAAATTGCCAACATAGAAAAAGAGATCCAGTTTGCTCTAGTGGTTAAGACACCAGGCTAAACCAGGAGACAGTGAGTTCTAGTCCCACCCAGGTGTCAGAGCAGCTAAGATACTTTAGGCTAGTCCAGCTCTCTCTGCTCTAGCAACAAACACAAATGATGGGTCAACACTCAATTAATTGGGAGGGAGAACAGATCCTGCACTTGTGGGAAAACACTTGGGGTGGGGGAGTGTAGATATGGAAAATAATACAGAGTGGTTGCATTAACCAAGGTTTGACGCAAATAAACCTAGTTTGGTCCCCCCTCCCACTCTCTTTTGAAATGTGACCCTGCTTGGGATCTGCCTCTGGGCAGGAGAGGAGGAGGCCAGGTTGCAGCTCCAAGGATTTTGGCTCCAAGTTGCCTCACCTGCCCTGCATTGTCCCTGGACGGCTCATTGACATGCAAGCAGGCCAGGGGGATCGAGAGGCCCCTATCAAGCCCGGCATTGTCTGCTGTCTGGACTGCCTCCCTTTCACAGATGGGCAGGGACGCCCAGCCAGGCAGCAGCTACCCGCTCCTTCACAGGCACACAAAGGCAGGCTGCCCTTTCTCACTGCCTTGTGGACAACCCCCACCCCCAGTGGTGGGGGGGCTGGGAGGAGCCACCTGCTGCATCCGATTTCTCTTGGCCTCTCCTCCCCCCTCCCGCCTTAGCAACCCTCAAAGGTTGTTTATGTGGCATGAAGAGAAGGTGCCTTTGCCAACTCTTGGCTTGGCTCGTGCGCTGCAGGACTCCCCTGATGGAGAGGCTTCTCAGCTCCCCTGGCGGGAGAACAGCTCCCAGCATGGGCAGAAAGTGAGCCAGCAGCAAGCCAGGAGGAAGCTGAAATTGGCTTATCAGAAGGCACTGGGGTGAGGGTGGGGAAGCTTCCTCCCCAACCGAGGGGCACCACCAAATTCTTCAGAGCAACTTACCTGGCAGACTGGCATCTGTAATCAACCCCTGCCCTGCCTCAGCTGCCAGCCCAGGAGTCACCAGCTCCCCTTTCCCCAGCCTTTGCTGGCAAGTGCTGAGCACTGCAGAGGGAAGACCTGGAGGCAAGCCCTCCCATTGTAGGGAAGGCCCCACACTGATGCTCCTCCTGGGACAGAGAGCAGGGTAGACAACTGGGGTGAGGAACCTGAAATCTTATTTTTAACATTGTTATTGGGTTTTTGTTTCATTAGTGTGAATATGTGCACCTTTTTGACTCCTGGTGACTTCCTGGACAAGTCCCTGCAGTTTTCCTGGCAAGGTTTTTGCCATTGTTTCCTTCCTAGGGCTGAAAGAGAATGATTGGCCCAGAGTCCCCCAGCTGGCTCTGTCTTTTTTTTTTTTTTAAGTTTTTTTATTAATAATACAAAATTAAAAAAACATTGGACATAAATATGACATCACTAAGCCTAACCCATCTGGCTCTGTCTTAAGGCAGGACTAGAACTCACAGTTTCTAGCAGTGGTGAAATGTAAAATTTGTTACTATCGGTTCTGTGGGCGTGGCTTGGTGGAGGGTAATGTGACTGGGTGAGTGTGGCCAACTTTTTTTTTTTTAACTTTTAAAAGCATTTTTTCTACAACCTCTTCAGCCGAAGAGGTTATAAAAAATGCTTTTAAAAGAAAAAAAAAAAGCCTCTGATGATCACGTGGCTCAGCTGGGCATGGGGGGTGGGTGGACAGGGATTTTGCTATCGGTTCTCCGAACCACCCGCTGCCATCGCAACCGAATCGGGTGATCCAGTCCGAACTAGGAGCATTTCACCCCTGGTTTCTAGCCCGATGCCTTAACATTACACCAGACCAGCTCTCATTGTTGTCACTGGGCTTATAAGGCTCAATGGGGCTTTGCAAAGCTGGGAACTAAAGGAATAAATAATGAATCAATAACCAGCCATTCATGCTGCAAACTGGCTCTGGGCCCTGCTTCTCTGTTCAAAGGGTTGCAGAGGCCAACGGAGGCCTTCGGAGCTGTCTCTGCAGGTTACAAGGCATTCAAATGGACGCTATGTAATTCCCTCAGGTAATTTTGGCCATGAGGTGTGTCTGTATCTGTCTCTCTCTTGCAGAGACATCATAGCTGGGTCAGGGAAGTTGTTGCTGACCGGAGAGGCATCGGCGTAGTTCCCCCACCTGAGACGTGGACATCCTGTGTCTCAACAGGCCATTGTGGGAGGCCGTGCTGGTCCTCAGGGCTCCAGGCCTAGAAAGCAGAGAGAGGGGACTTCAGTCCTGCTCTCTCTCCATCTCCAGGTCCATCCTACTTTGTGGGGCAGCTATGGGACCACCAGGCATCACCTCAAAGCCGGCACTGGACAGACAGACAGCACGGCCCCTGGCTGGCAGTGGAATCTGCAGCCGAGCTGCCTTGGCCACCATCCTCACGAGCACCGCAACAGCCCTGTGTGTGGGCATCCTTGTGTGTGAGTTGCTTTGAAATGGGTTTGGGGGTTAACCTGGGGTCCCCCATGGAGCTTAAATTCCCCTACAAATTGTATGCACCATTGGACTGACAAAGAAAAAGCTCTTTGGTGGTGGGACCTTCTTGTCAGCCCAATAGAGTAGCCCCAAGCAGCGCCTCCTATACCTCGGCTGATCTCCTTTTTCCCTAGACCGGCAGTACTTGGGTGGCAGAACTAGCTGAACATGTTTAAGGAGAGGGACCTGGAGTGGGCTCACGCTACCCGATCTGGTGGGCCTGGTACCCTTTGGGAAAGGAGGCAGTGAGCAACCTCATTGCTTGCCTTGGGGAAAACAGGAGTGGGGTGGGGGACTTGCAACATGCTACTTACAAGAAATGCAAAGATGCCAGTGGGGAGGGGAGGGATGTGTGTCCTCTGGAGATGGCTGCAATTTTGCAAAGCAAAGGGCAGGGACAGAGAACCCCTTGGCTAGACAAGGAGAGTCTGAATTCGGTGCTCATCTTGTGCCAGGACCCTTCTGCGGCAACTGCGCCAAGAGAAACCAGCAGCTGGGCTGCCCATCCTTTCAGCAGTAGCCCTCTTGTGGCTGAGATCACAGACAGCCCCAAAGCTTGGCAGGGCCCTGGCAGCTAAGCAACCATGTCGGCTGGCAGGGGGAAGGAGTTGGGTGGGCCAGGCGCCTGGCAGTGCTTGGAGGGGCCCTTGGCAACCACCAGAGCACCGAGGCTCTCTCCTGCTGCAGTTTTCCTTGGGAAGCAAGAAACCCACTTTGAGCACATGGTGGAGCTGCGAGGGATCCCCTACCAGAGTAGTTTGCAGCAGCCCAGTACTGGCTACTCCCGCCTGCTGACCCCTATTCTGGAACAGCTGGTAAGGACCCCCTGCCCCCTTCTCAAGACAATGAGCTATGGGCGAGCCACTGGGAAGGGCCACCAGATGCTGTTCCGCCCTGAGGCAGGGCTGTCCATTCAGCGCTCCCCAGGAGTGTAGCTCTAAGGGATGGAGAGAAGCCTCTCCCCCACCCTGGGAAGGCACACAAGACTGGTCAGACCTTCCATGGCTGGCTGGGCTGTTCCCAGGTGAGGGCTGAGGGGATGCATCCTGCCAGCCAGCTTGGGGTGTGTGTGCAATGCCTCCTCTAAGCCCCAGGCGAGGCATCCCTTTGGCTAATTGGTTGAGTGAGCAGATGGCATGGATCTTTTCGTGTGGCGAGGCTGCTCTGAAACTGCCCCGCCCCCCGTTTGAGTGTGGGTCTGATGGGCACAGCAACAAGGCCAACGTGCTCTCTTGTTCTTCTGACTGTTCAGTTCAAAAGCAGCTTTCAGAACTCACCCCTGGATGGCAGTTGCTTCAGGTGTACCATTTTGCAATACAGGTGAGCAGGGGCCGGAGGGCTGGCCTGGGGGGAGGCTCTCCTCCACTCTCCTGCCAGAAAGAGAGAGTAAGGAATTCTTGCTTCTGCTTGGCAGGGAGGGCAATGCCAGCCTCATTGTCCGCTTCCACCTCTGCTTTTCTGCACCGCTGCCCAGCCCTGGCATGGAAGAGGACGTCCTGAGGCGGGGACTGGCAGCAGCCGTGAGCAACGAGGGCATCAGGGTTCCCACCTATGGCACCATCTCAGCTGCTTCCCTCTTGGGTATCCCTGCACTATTTCTGGCCCTTTGGCCCAGGCTGACTGGGGTGGTGTGTGCCTCTAATTAGCCTAGTTTCTCCTGTGCTGCTCACCTGCAGTCCACTTCTGATCCCCCCCCTCTTTCCAGCAGGGCCATGGGACCTCACCTTCTCAGGCACAGAGCTCAAGTCAGGTAGGCTGGTCGGCCGTGGAACCGGTCTGGGACCCTGATTTTTGGGGGCCCAGCTCCATCCCTTCCTCCTGGTGGGCAGCATTGGGAACTGGGGGCCCGTTTGGCCTTAGCATTGTGCACAAGAGAACAGGGGCATTTGGGGGCAGGAGTGAGAGATTGGAAAAGAACAGCCAAACTGCTACCCAAAAGCCCAGGCTGCCGAGGGCAGAGATTTCCTGCCTCAATTACAGGAGGTGCTGAACCCAATGAGGGCTGAACTCTCCCCAATGCATCCCCCCCCCACTCCCAGTATCTGTGCTGAGGGGAAGAACAACCCCGGAGTCAATTCTGCCACTCACTGTTATGTTCACAGGAAGGTGTCCAGGGGAGGCCTTTGCCTGCCAAAATGGCCAGTGTGTAGCCCCAGGAAACGTGCAGTGTGACGGAAGGAAAAATTGCTCAGATGGTTCTGACGAGGCCGAGTGTGGTGGGTCTCTCGCTGCTGGAGCTGCTGGGCTCACTGCCTCTGCAAAGCTGGGGATTCTCCGTGCTGATCTCCCTTGGAGGATGGGTAGACTGCGGGTGCCTCCCTACATGGAGAGCTGAACTATGCAGAGTGCAGGATCCTTTGCAGAGATAATTGACCTCTGTGGGGGGGGGCAGAGTCTCCAGAGAGGCTACCTTCCCAGGGGGGGGGGGCATGAAGAGGGGCACCTGGCCTTAGGAAACCAGAAGGGGGCTGTTAGGTGGTGGGAGGCTGCCTGTGCACAAGAAAGCCTTTGGAGCTAATCTTCACTCAGAGTGTGATCAGTCAGGCCAGAGTGACCATAAGCAGGAGGACAACAGATGGCTGAAACATTACTTTTGCCATGTCAGAAAAAAACAGGAACCCTCCCCTCTGACCAATTTCAAACTGCAAACTTATAAAAAAACTGACCAGGGGTGGTGGGGCAAATGCGTTTGGAGCTTTCCTAACTTGCAAGAGAAGAGGCTCTGAAATCTCAAATCAGAGCCAAAGTCTCTGTCGTGCATTTCCTCCCTTTGTAGGTTTCCGGGGTTTAATGTGTGGGTGGGTGGGCTCTCCTGGCCTCCCCTATTCACCATCAGCCCCTCATGCTCTCTTGCAGACTGTGGAACCAGGCCAGCCATGCGATCCGCCACTCGGATCGTGGGGGGATCAGAGGCGCTGCTGGGCGAGTTCCCATGGCAGGTCAGCCTGAGAGAGAGCAATGAACACTTCTGTGGGGCAGCCATCCTGACTGCCAGGTGGCTGGTGTCTGCTGCACACTGCTTCAATGAGTAAGCCTGGGAGCCCGCTGCAATGGGTTGGTGCCAAGGGGGAATAAGAGGCTGGCGGTGGGGGGGAGGTGATGAGGCCAGGAAGGAGCAGCTCAAGGATGGAAAGAGGCAGTCAGTAGGGACACTGGGGGGTGGGGAGCATGCAGTGGGTATAGAGCTACAGCATGGGGAGGAGGGAGGAGGAGGGAGAGGAAGGGGGTGACAGGGGCAGAAGAAACCCCAAGCCCACGTAGCTTCTCCAAAACAGCAAGAAGAAAAAGGGATGGATGGCTGAGGTGCCCAGTGAGATCAAAATAGTCAGGAGAGAAACAATGGAGTGTGAGGTCACAAATGAAACATGGGCCTTGTCCCAGACAGGCATTCTAGGGAAAGTGTGGCTTGCAGTTCCCTGAGACCTCCTGGGTAGGGAGGGGAACCAGGGGAGACTGAAGCTGTCCCGTCACAGGTTCCAGGACCCCCGCACCTGGATGGCCCAGGCAGGCAGTGTCCGGCTGAGTGGCAGCGAAGGCAGCCGGGCACAGGCCAAGGTGCTGCGCATCCTCCAGCATCCCTCCTACAATGTGGAGAGCGCCGACTACGATGCAGCCCTGCTGGAGCTGGCGGAGCCCCTTGCCTTCAGCAAATACATCCAGCCCGTGTGCCTGCCAGCCCCCTCCCACTGGTTCCCCCCAGGCAGGAAGTGTCTCATCTCTGGCTGGGGATACCTGAAGGAAGACTTCTGTAAGTGGGGTCCCTGGCGGTCAGGGGGAAAACAGGGTGGGGCGGCACAGAAGAAATCCTCCGGTCAGGGCTGGAGCTGACCGGCCTACCTCAAAGGGATGTTGCTGGGGCTAGGGTTTGTGCAGGGAGATTGAACCTGTCAATTCCACCTCCCCATGTGAGGAAACCTGTGGCTGCTCAGGGACACAAAGAGGCCACCACTGTCCCCACAGTCCGAGAAGGGAGACTCCTGCTGCTGCACCAACCCTCAGGTGTGGTAGAGGGAAAACTCCTGAGCAAGGCCAGCGTAACTACACAACTGTTTTGTGTGCCCATGCAAAGCTGCTGGTGTGTTACACTGAGGAGGAAGAGGGAGGCAATCCAGCTAGCCCATAGCTGCTGCTGCTGCTCCTGCAAGCATATCCTCAGCCCCCAACCCCGCTAGGCTGCCCTGAGAGCAAAGCCGGGATCCACTTAGCATTCATCCTCCCCTACCCTCCCAGTAGTGAAGCCGGAGCTGCTCCAGAAAGCCACCGTGGAGCTGCTGGACCAGGCTCTGTGTGGCAATCTCTACGGCAGCAGTGTGCTCACCGACCGGATGATGTGTGCTGGCTACCTGGAGGGCAAGGTTGACTCTTGCCAGGTAGGGGCCCCCAACCCCCAGCAGGCTTTGGACGGACCTCCCTGCACGACATCCACCCCATCTTGGCCCTTTCCTTCTACAGGGGGACTCCGGGGGCCCACTGGTCTGCCAAGAGCCCTCCGGGCGCTTCTTCCTCGCAGGGATAGTCAGCTGGGGGATTGGCTGTGCAGAGGCCAGGCGCCCAGGTGTTTATACTCGTGTGATCCGGCTCTGGGACTGGATCCTCAAGACCATGGCCACATCCAGGGGCCCCACCGCCTCAGCTGTCCCAGGCACTGGGCTCCATCATTCAGCTCCAACCGTGGGCACAAGCGCAGCCAGGCTACAGCACCCCAGCTCCACCCCCAACTCTGCCTCCCCAGCCTCAAGCAGACCGGCAGCCTCAAGCCCCCAGCCCTCAGGTAGGGCAGCTGGCAGGGAGTGAGTGGAGGTGGGGTGGCCCCCTCCTGCATCCATAGCTGTTCCGTTTATGTGCAGAGTGCGGTCGGCGGCCTGGTTTCTCCAAACCCATGAAAATTGTGGGTGGCCTGGAAGCATCCCATGGGGAGGTCCCTTGGCAAGTCACCCTGAAAGAGGGTCTCCAGCATTTCTGTGGGGCCGCAATCATTGGGGAGCGATGGCTGCTTTCAGCTGCACATTGTTTTAAACAGTAAGTGTTTGTTAGTAGGATCTCTTTGGCAGCTGGGCTCTCTTCTGGAAGGCTCATGTTTTGGTTCCACCGAGGGGAAGTAATTGAGCAGCTGCTGTTGTGGTCTGTTCAGCAGGAGGTGGCAGTGGAGAACCTGAGGGAGGGGTGCCCCATTGGGGCTGAGGCACTCCTGAAAGTCACCTGCCATTCTGCCTCATGTCTGCCTCCACCAAGGCGGGCCCTGCTCCATCCAACCTCAACCCTGGGGGTGGCCCGGGGTGCACGGAAGGTGCACAGGGCATGCTCTGCCTGTGGACAAATGGGCCATCGTTCCTGTTCCTGTATCAGCAGGACCAAGGTAGGACACCTCACTGCCTTCGCAGGCACCACCTCACTCTCAGCCATGGACAGCTCTTCTGTGAAGGTTGGCATCCAACAGGTGGTGCTCCACCCTTCTTACGACCCTGCCCTACTGGACTTCGACGTCGCGGTGCTGGAACTGGTCAGGCCGCTGCGCTTTGGCAGATACATCCAGCCCATCTGCCTCCCATTGGCCGTCCACAAGTTCCCTGTGGGCAGAAAATGCCTGGTTTCGGGCTGGGGCAGCCTCCAGGATGGCAATGGTAGGAAGAGCTTCCTCAGAGTAGATGGGGAACCGGGCATCAGATTGTGTCCTGTGGGTAGAAGAGTGCCCCCCTTGCGTACTGAACCCCATTGGGCAAGATCAGTCTGTGCTACACTGGGCAAGATTGCCCAGGGTCTGGGGTGGTTTGAAATGGGGCCTGGAACTTTGGGCTGACTAGTCTCCTGCAAAGTCTCCTCCTCCTCCTCCTCCTCCTTTTGGGCTTCCAGCTTCTCAGCCCGAGAACCTGCACCAAGCCGCAGTTGGGATCCTTGAGCAGAAGACCTGTGAAGAATTGTACAATGTTTCCCTCTCGGACCAAATGATCTGTGCGGGGTTCCTCGAGGGGAAAGTGGATGCCTGCCAGGTACCAGGAGCACTTCTTCCCCACCCTGGCCCTTTCAGGACTGAGCCCCACCCCCTCCTGGAGGAGAGGGGCATAAAGGCTGAAAGTGTGTTTTGGACAGATATCACCATTTTCCAACAGTGTTCTTTTCCGTTTTCAGTAGCGGGAGTCTAAAGGATACACAACTGGGGAGGCCTTTGGTGCTGAGTTTGGTGGTTTTCTTGAAGATGTTTCATGACCCAACTAGGCATCGGTAACAGTGCTAAAAGACAATAGGGTGTCTAGCACTTGAGATGTTCCTTAGTTGGGTCACAAAACGTCTGGCCGGAAACCACCAAGCTCAGAGAGCAGCACAGGGCCTGCAGTTCAACACTCTTCTGCTGGGTTACATGGACCCTTCGCAGCCGTCTCCCAGACCTGACCCCTCACCTCACCGTTGCTGCTGCTACTCGGAGACAGGATGCCCATTTCCCTGGACCGCTCCCCTTCCTTTGCAATGCAGGGAAAGGCCCCACAGTGCAGTGCGAAGACAGGCTTCCTGGGTGGGAGACAGAGGGGCCCCTGGCAATTATGGCTTCTCTGTGCTGTTACTGCGGGAGAAGCTCATCGGCCCCACCGGGGCAGATGCCAGTGAGGGGAGCCCTTTCTCCATACCCCCTCCTCTCTGGGGTCCTGCTCCTGGCATTCATCTTTTGTCTATGCTGCCTGCTCCACTTTTCTTCCCAGGGAACAACTCAGGCCTGTGTCCCTTTCCCACGCTGCCCATTTGCCACTTTTTGCCAAGCAGGGAACTTGCTGCCAGCTGTCTGGAGGGGGGGATGGTTAAGGGGCTCCTGTGGCCTCCCCACTGAGTATTTAGGGCATTTTCAGGTCCAGGTCCAGCTTGAGAATTCTTTCAGCCTTCTGTTTATGGAGGGAGGAATTGCCTTGCCTATAACAGAAGAGGCAATCACCATCAAGCCACTGGCCCTTGCCAAGAGGTGCTTCCTCCTGCCTTCTTTCCAGTGGGACTCGGGGGGACCATTGGCCTGCGAGGAGACCCCAGGAACCTTCTACTTGGCTGGGCTGGTGAGCTGGGGCATTGGCTGCAGGCAGGCCAAGAAGCTGGGGGTCTACGCCCGGATCACCAAGCTCAAGAGTTGGATCCTAGGCATCATTTTGCCCTGTCTCAGCACCGCAGAGCCCCTCGGATCCAGGACCACCACTGCCTCGACCGACTCTGGCCTGGAGCAATGGCCTACACCGCTCGGCCCAAGTGCTGGCCCTGCCAGCTTGACCACACCCGGGCAGGAAGTCAGCGCCTCCCAGGCCACCCAGCCGCCAGGTACAGGGCAGAAAGAAAAGGCTCAGTGTGTAAGTAAATGGGGTGTGCAAGCCAGTGTGGCAGAGCAAGCCCAACAGCAGTCCTCTTCTCCCTCTGCCACAATCGCTTGTGACCTGCCAGGAAATGCCCCCTGGGCAGAGCTGTCCGTCACGACTCTACATTGCCAAGCTCAGCACCTGCCCCTTTTAACCAGCCATGGGTGGGAATTCTGGCTCCCTGTGGGGAGAGGAGCTGGGCTTCCCAGTTGGACTCACCCACTTGTCCCCTCCTTCCCCAGCCGTGCCATGCACCCCCTCCACATTCAAGTGCTCCAGCAAGGTCTGCATCGGGAAAGCAAACCCTGAGTGTGACGGCATCGTTGACTGTGGCAACGGCTGGGATGAGACCAGCTGCAGTGCGTACCTCCCTCACCCTCCAGCCCCACCCCCATTTCACCAGGGGCAGCAACTGGTCTAGTGGGGAGAGAGGACTTTTGAAAAACAGGGACACGGAGATGTCGGGGGGGGGGCTCCCAATAGGGTGCTGGGAAGTCTCTCTCTGATGAAGAGAGGGGCTGCCAGCCACTTCCCCTGTGATCTCCAGGGGTCCCCCGCTGTCCCCATCATTTCCAAAAATGGCTTGGGCCCAGTTGCACCCGAGGGGCAGGGGGAATCCTGTGGCAGCATGTGGGGGACAAAGGGGAAGGAGGTAGGCTCTGGGTCAGAGCTGCTCTGAGTGTGCTTTAGTTGCAGCCATCACTGACTGGAAATATGGCAGGCGACTGGGGCTGCCCCTGGCACCCATTCCAGCAGAAGGGGGTGGGGAAGAGTTCCTGGGCTGGTCTACCCTCACTTCAGCCCCTGCTTTGGCCCTTTCCGGCAGACTGCGGCTTGGCCCCCACTGCAGCCTTCAGCAAGATCGTGGGGGGCAGCGGTGCAGCACAGGGCGAGTGGCCATGGCAGGCGAGCCTGTGGCTGCGGCGAAGGCAGCACACGTGTGGGGCTGTTGTGATCGCTGAGCGGTGGCTACTCTCAGCTGCTCATTGCTTCGATGTGTGAGTGGGGGGGACTGGAGGAGGGCCCGGACCCCTCCAAGCTGTGCCCCCTCTGTTCCCACTCCGCCAGCCCCACAGAAGGTTGCCCTGGCCACCCCAGGCCTCTTGGGCTCCATGGTTACCCTGGCCAGGCCAGAGTGCGGGCGCTGGGGGGGGGGGCTCTCCTGAGGCCTCCGAAAGGCTGACAGCCTCGCCTCTTGCAGCTACAGCAACCCCAAGATGTGGGTGGCTGTCCTGGGGACACCCTTCCTGAGCGGCCTTGAGGGGCAAGCGGAGAAGATTGCCCGGATACACAAGCACCCCTTCTACAATGGCTACATGCTGGACTACGACATGGCCCTGCTGGAGCTGGCTGCCCCCCTGCACTACACCAGCTCCATCCGGCCCATCTGCCTCCCAGACCGCACCCATGCCTTCAGCGAGGGCAGGCCCTGCGTCATCACCGGCTGGGGCTCCACCAAGGAGGGGGGTACGGATGTTTCCGACAAGCCCTGTCCCCATGGGGCACAGCTCAATCTGGGGCCAACCAACTTCTCATCAGACCAAGCCCAGGGTCTTCCGGGGATGCCCTGGCATGGGATTCTTCAGCTCAGGGTAGAAATGTGACGGGGGTCTTGCTACCCACAGGCCTGGTGAGCACACGCCTGCAAAAGGCTGATGTTCAGGTGATCCGACAGCAGGACTGCCGGAGGTTCTACCCCATCCAGATCAGCAGCCGGATGCTCTGTGCTGGCTTCCCGCAGGGGGGCGTCGACAGCTGCTCAGTAAGCTCCACGCAGCAGCAGTGCCCCTATGGCCGCCAGGAATGGCAAAGGGCCTTGGAATACTGCTCTGCAGGGGAGGGGAGAGGCAATTCCTCAAAGTCACCCTACCCTACCCTGTGCTCAGAGCTGCAAGCCCTCATGCTTCTCTCTTGCTCCGTAGGGAGATGCGGGGGGGCCCTTGGCCTGCAGAGAGCCGTCTGGCCGCTGGTTCCTGGCAGGCATCACCAGCTGGGGCTACGGCTGCGCCCGGCCTTCCTTCCCCGGGGTCTATGCCAAGGTGACAGCAGTCCGGGGCTGGATTGCGCAGAACCTCAAGGCGTAACTCCCTACCTACTGGGGCCAGCAGGGGGAGCCAAGGCGCACAGAGACTGACCCCTCATGATCCTACCAAAGCCCTTTCCTAAAAAGGATTCTGCCAGACTGTTCCAGCTGCAGGTACATTAAATGAAAATGATCCACTTGCGAATTTCCATGTGGTTTCTGTGGATCTTCTGGGAGGGGGTGGTTTCTAGCACCTCCAGCCTCCACAGCTTGTCAGGAGGAGCCCCTGCAATGCTCACACAAGCTTTGGGAGCGGGATGGCTTCCCTCCTTTCACCATGCCAAGAAAATGCTGTGTCTTCAGACAACAGGAAATGTGAAAGGAAACTAAGGCCCAAGGAAGGGTGTGTTAACTGGGGCGATCTTCCCTGCATCGGCCCATCTGCCGCTTCCTTCCTCTCTCCAACCCCCAAATGGCAGGATGCACATAATGTGCTCAAGAAGGATTAACAAAACACACTCTGGCAGTTCTCATAACATGTAAGCCTGAACAAATATTCCATGTACTTTTCTCAGCCTCAGGGACAATCAATGCACCACCCACCAGCCATTCTGGCTAGCTCAGCCTCGCCTGCCTCATTTTATCGAAGGACAGATGCTGGCACTCTAGAAATCGAAGTGTCTTCCACTGCTGGCCAATGGAACAAGGCTCGGCGACCACACCCTACTTAACCCAAAGCAGCTTCTCTGCACTCCCACAAAGCAGAGGGACAGCTTTCACTTCTTCAAGGACCCCCCCAAAACCAAGGACCCAGAATATCAGCAGCTTAAATCCAAGCTCAGACGGGGTGTTGCCTACTCGCTGCCAAAGGGCCAGGGGAAGGGGGCTTTGGCTGTGAAGAGAGCCCAGCACCAGAGAAGGGGCAGGGCAGGCCAGCCTCAAGGAGGGAGGGAGTGAAGGGCCCTCGAAGGCCAGGTCTTAGCAACACAGGCTGTAACAACAGTCTGGGGTCTTCCGTTCCTCTCCAGCTCCAGTGGGAGGCAGGTCCCAGAAAGCAGACCAGCAGCCCCCTCCTCCAATTCAGACACAACTCTGAAAGAGGAAATAAGGACTCCCCCTTCCAGAGCAACATCAGCCTCTCGAGGCTGGCCGGCCTTGCCTCCTGGGGGCTGCAGCCAAGACCTCTGACCGACACAGGCGAGGGGACGACAGAGGGGCATCTGGGTCAACGTTTTAATGGTATCAGGCTGGCCGCTTAACAGTCCACCGATCTCTCCAAGGGTGATTGCCAGAGTCCCCCTCTCACATGTTGGCCCGCTCCCTCTGCAGACGGGAATTGTAGGCGCGGGAAACCGTGTTCCAGGCGTCCATGTAGCGGTCCATGCACATGGCGATGCACTTCTGTGGGGAAGAGGAGAGAAGAGGCCGAGTCAGGAGGGGGGGGGGGGGGGGGGGGGGGGGGGGGGGGAGTCGCGGGGGGGGGGGGGGGGGGGGGGCAGCAGCCAACTCGCTCCAAAGGGCCTTTTGGGCCGCAGGGCTCACCTGTTCCGAGTTGTCCAGGGAGCTTCCGGGCTTCCCGATGCATTTCCTGAAACACTTGTCGGTCATCCTCTGCGGGTGGGGAGACCGGAGGGGAGGAAGGAAGGAAGGGAGGAGGTCAGCAGCCTCCCCACCGCCGCCGCCGCCGAAGGGTTCAGGGTCCCAACTGGGTCCGTCCCCCCCCCCCCGCAAAGCCCCCTCCCCCGTCAGCAGCCTCTCCCGGGGCTCCCCTCCCCCTCCGCAGAAGGGCCGGGCGGGGGTCTTTAGCCCCACCAGACCCGCCTCCGCCGCACGAGGGCTCCGGGGGGACGCATCCACGGGACCCGCCGCAGGGCCTGCAAGGCTCCCCCTGCTCACCTGCAGCAGCTCCTGCGCGTTGGCCACGGCGATCTGCACCTTCACCTGCTCCATCAGCGCTCCCGGGTCCAGCCGGCCCGACGACGCCCCGGAGCCGAACTCGCCGCCCGCCGCCATCCCGCGCCCTCCCAGGAGCCTGCGCGGCCGCTTCCGTCCCGAGCTCCGCCTCTTCCGAAGCCAAGCTTCCGGCCGCGCTGCCCGCAAGCCCGCCACGGCTCGCGGAGGCCTCGGGCGCCCCCAGCGGCGGAGGGCGGGAGGGCGCGCAGCCGAGCGAGCGGGCAGGCAAGCCGATCCCGGTGCCGCCACGCGCCAGACGGGGTGCCGGCGGTCAGGTGGGCCCAGCCGTCCGCCCTCCCGCCCTGGGGTGGCTGCTGGCCTGCCCTGCCATGGGCGTCAGTAGCTTTGGCCGCGTCCGCGGGTGAGGAGTCCCGCGGGGCGATTGCAGGCGCCAATAATAGCAGTGGCAATAATACTTAGACTTACATACCACATTCCAGCCCCCTTTAAGCGGTTCACAGAGTCAGCCTTTTGCCCTCAACAACCTGGACGGGAGGCTGAGTCAGCCTTGAGCCTGGTGAGATTCGAACTGCCAAACTGCAAGCAGCCGGCAGGCAGCAGAAGTAGCCTGCAGTACTGCACTCTAACCGCTGCGCCACCACGGCTCTTTTAAAGGGGAACCTTTGCAGCTGGGGGTTGAATTGGAGGACACCACTGGCGTCCTTGGCGCCAGTGTTGGGCTCCACCCACCCGCCTGGACGTCATTCGCTCACACGTGCGGAAGTGGCGCACGCGTGAGTGAAGCGCACAAGCGAACTGGTAGCAAAGGTAAGTGAAACCCACCCCTGCTTGGTGCCCTCTGGGCTTGGCTGGTTTCTTGCAGGGGTTCTGTGACCCAACTAGGTAACATCATCAGCGCTACTAGGAAGGAAGGGTTTTCTCCCAGTTCATGTCCTTGTTGTCTCTCCCTGTCTCTGTTGGGGCGGGGGTGGATGGGGGCGGAGATCTTAAGGCATTCTTTGGTCAGGCTGTTTACTGTCGGCTTGTTTGGCAGATCCCAGATTGGCGTATTGTTTCCTTTTTGATTATTTATTATTTATTTATTTTATTATTTAAATTTGTATACCGCCCTTCTCCCGAACGACTCAGGGCGGTGAACAGCTAAAATTAAAATACATACAATATGAAATTTAAAATAATTTAAAAACAGAATTAAATTGAATTGGCTTCCCAAAAATTAAAACCCATTACCCTTAAAATAACCCATTAAAATTTTAAGCCAGCCCAGCTTGCTGAAATAGGAAGGTCTTCAAAGCTCGACGGAAGGTCCGGAGGTCCGGGATTAGTTGTATTCCTGGGGGTAGCTCATTCCAGAGGACGGGTGCCCCCACAGAGAAGGCTCTCCCCCTGGGATTATGTTAATCTTGGAGTTTACTTCATCGTTGCAGGCTACATGGAGAAATCCCGTCCCTCTCCTTAGACTTTTCTCCCATCAGCTTTCTTATGGGAGAAAAACGTCCCGTCCCCCCCCCGCTTGCCTTCTTCAGTTCAGGTGTTTCTGTGCCACAGTTGTGTTCCGCTCCAGTTGTGCTTTTCAGAGCCCGAAGCTCTATTGTACCATTCTCCAAATGGGGTAGCCAGAAAGCCCCAGGCAGGACTGCAGATGAAATGCATTACATGTCTGAACAGGATTAATATAGCATGGGTCGTCTTATTTTTAACCCCTTTCCTAATACGCCACTGTATGCTGAATCAGCATAGTTTTTAGATTTTCTTACCCTGCCTTTACTATTTTTATAAATAACTCAAGGAAGTGAAGATAACTAATACTCCTTCCTCTTATTTCCTCCTCATCAGCACTCTGAGGTGGGTTGGGCTGGGAGAGAGAGCAACAGGCCCAAAGTCACCCGGGCAGCATTCATGCCTAAGGCAGGACTAGAACTCAGAATCTCCTGATTTTTAACCTGGAGCGTTAAGCACTAAACGGAACTCTTCTTGAGTTCTCCATTTTAACCCCGAGAGCTGTTTGCCAGTCAGTTACAGACTCTCTCAGTGCATATGTGAAGTTGGGGCAGGGAGGGTCCCCAAATTGCATCACTTTACACTTACTTACATTAAGCTACATGGGCTCTCAGACTAGCTTTTCACCCAGTGTAAAGCAATCCGTGTGTGTGTGTGTGTGTGTGTGTGTGTGTGTGAGAGAGAGAGAGAGAGAGAGAGAGAGAGAGAGAGAGAGAGAGAGACAGCCCTCCATTTTCACCTCCCTGAAGCAAAATAGGCATTCACAAGCGCGGCAATGTTAATCTATCCTTGGAAGATCATGAAACATCCAGCAAGCCAGAAAGGAAGAGCAGAAGGCAGATCTGAGTCGACAAGGGGCTGATGGCCAGAGCTCAGCTGCCCATGTGGCCTGAGGCAGAAGGAAAGTGGCATGCGCAAAGATGTGCCTCTGCTTGGCACACACACAATGCCAGAACTACGGACACCGAAGCAACCTTGGTGGCATCAGAGCAGAAGAGACAAGGCTTGGGCACTGATGTTCTGAGGATCAGGGATGGGAGCCGCCCCCTTCACGTCAGAACTTCTGGGCAGAGAAGAAGTGGCGCCGCCATTGTGAGTAACCAACCAGCTGGTTCAGCTGGTGCTCAGCTGCAGCCCCAGGAATTGTGGGGTGCTCTCAGTCCGAAGCCACGCCAGCCAATCAATACGACGGAGACCTCCAGCCACTGGTGCAGAAGAAAAGCAAAAGTTGGACAGTTTGGGGTGATATGCAACACCTGGTGGACATCTTTTATTTCTAAGCAGTAAAAAAATGGCATTTTAATCATGGAAGAATAAAAAGATAAACATGTATTTTAACATGTTTTAAACTCTTTTAATTACACATTTTGATGCTGTAAGCCATGCATTCTTTGAGAGTGGGCAACCAGAATAAATCTAATTGATGATGATGATGAGGAGGAGGAGGAGGAGGAGGAGGAGGAGGAGGAGGAGGGACTAAAAATAATCTCTGAAATATGGGGGAAATTGTCCTTTGCACATGAAACAAAGCAGGAGACAGACTGTTTTTCGTCGGGCCCTGAAGACCCATTTATTTCAACTAGCTGGGCTGGCTTGAGTTAAATTTTAAGTTGATTTTAAATTGGGTTGTTTTAATTTACGGCCAAAATATTTAATTATTTTAAATTGCTTTTAAATTTTGTATGTTCTGTTTTTTACTTTGGCTGTTCACCGCCCTGAGTCCTATTTGGAGAAGGGCGGTATAGTAATAGGAACAAATAAATAAATAAAATAAATAATCCTGCCAAGAAAATGTAATCTTTCAACAGTTTACAAGATGACTCTGCTATACAAGTCCATCACTGGATAGGCAACACTAAAGTCATGTGGACTTGTTACTTTGCACGCAAAGATGGAAAGGCTCTGTCGAGTCAACCATCCAGACTCCAGCAGCTTCCAGGCACTGGGATAGGACCTCGATGGCCCCACTTGGTCTCCGTTGGAAATGTACAATTGGGAATTGTCAGTGTACATCACATCCTTGGATGGTCTCCCCCAGCAGCTTCCAATAGAGGTTGAATAGCAGCAGTAACAACGTTGAACCTTGAGGGACCCCTGAAAGTGCTAGCTAATCACAACAAGCAAAAAACACACAAAAAAGCAAGAAATAAGTAAGCTGTTGCTAGGAGAAATGACTAGAAAAAGGTGGAGTTTGAAAGAAAAAAGGTCACTTTTCACACCTTTCTAGGTGTGAAAGGAGAGGGGGGGCTAAAGGATGAGGAGTCACACCCCAAGATTTAAGCAGGGAGATGCATCCAGGACCAAAAGGAAGATCAGTCTGCCCCTTGGGCAAAGCAGCCCCTTGGTCTGCCTTGCCCACAGGGGCCCTTCTCCCCCTCATCCTGCCTTGGAAAGATGGTCAAAGTGCTTTGAGGAGACGGGGAGCCTTGAACTCGGGTCTCCCTAGAAGATCTTAGAGATCTTCTCTGCCCACCCTCTTTTGTTCTTCCCCATCCTCTCCCATCTCCTGTTCCACTTGTGACCCACAAGGACACCAGGGTTCTTGTCATATGTACCCCTGGCCTTCTCTTCCGGTTCTCAGCGTTGCCTTGGAGGACCCTGGCAAACAGGAGCATCCAAAGGAGCATACGGCCCGAATAGAAAAATGTGAAGAGGAGCCATTGGAGACGGCCCTGGGATATTCAGAAGAGGAGAGCCCAGAAAGATGAGATTGCTGGCTTGCAGAAGATGGGCAGAATTGTTAGAGTTGTTCCAAAAACACTGATTTAAATTTCAAGGAAGCTGACTGCTCATAATAAGAACTAGTGATTCACCAAGATACAGAGAATGTGCTGCCCTCAGTTTGGCCTCCCCGTATTCATACCAAATTGGCCCTTGTGATTTCTCTCATCAGAGCTGAAGAATTTTGCATCTGTCCCTCTCAAGGAGGGATAAAAGTTTATGCAACTTTTAAGTTTATGTTATAAGGGCCTGGTGGCTCAGCAGACTGGTAGCATTGTGATTAACACCAGCTGCCTGCAATTACCTAACCTTGCATTTATTAAATATTTTTGATCTGTCGTTCTAATGTGAGTCTCTTGTGGACAGATTACATCATTTTTAAACTGTTTCAAATAATGAAATATTTTTCTCCTCTTTTGTGGTGAATTTAGGTCATTAATATTCCAGGTCAAAAATCTAGTTGCCATTCTTGGGCCCCTGGAGCTTTTGGAGCATCTGCTGGAAGTCTCCATGCATTTTACTTTTTGGCCTTGCTCCTCCCACTGCTTCTGTTTTTGTAGTTTCTTGAATCATCTGGAGTTGCTGCACTCTTAATTCTTCTTGACGCTTGGCTGCTGCTCGGGTCTGTCTTTGATCCTTAGGTTCTTCTATTTTTTTTAATATCTCCAAAGCTTGGGCAGTAGTCGAAAGTTGTATTAAGTCTTCTTGAGTAATCAAAGCTCCCCCTTGAGCCTCTGCCAACAATTCTTCCTTCTCCCCCTTTCTTGCCCCCTTTTCTGCCTTTAGTACATTGGTGTAGAAATCTCTTGCCTTCCACACTTAGTTAAGACGATGTCTTTCTCCTGAATAATTCACCACTAGTCCAGCTGGAACCTCCCATCTGTACTGTATCTGACGGTTTCTCAATTCTTCCACCAGAAA